CCACCCAGGGAACCATGTTAACCCCATACACACCCTAAATCTGGAGGGTGCTGACCCGCTGACCAGAATCTCAAACCACTCAGAACCTAGCAGAGGGTGGAACCGAGGCAGATGGGGGCATCAAGTTTCAAAATGAGTTGGCTTATCCAGTTGAGAAAACCAGGAAGGCAAATGAAAGGAGAAGAAAAGTTCACCAAGAGTTGAGTGTGTGAGTATTTACACAACCACCGCTGCTGGGCCTAGGAGCCGTGGTGTGGATGCCTGCAGAGGCCTGTTGTTCTGTTTTGGAAAGTCCTCCTCCCTCCTGGGGCCCTGAATCTGCCAGCTGGCAGAGCCGTGGAGGGGACCCAGACGACTGGGTGTCAGTCCGTCTGCCTCTTCCTATCTTCCTGGGACCAGCTTGGGTCCCTGGAGGCACACCCCTCATATCCTTATGCAACCCAGGGACCCACCAGAGAATTGCTTCAGCAGATCTTTCTCCCAAGCAAGTGCCCCGCCTTGTGGGAGACAGTGTCTGTGGTTCTGAGCAGAGTGGGTCTACAATGAGAAGCAGCAGCGTGCACCGAGCGAAGCGGGGCTTCTAGATGCAGGCAGACCCAGTTCAAATCCTGGCCCTGCCACTTCTGAGCTGTATGGCCTAGAGAAATATATTTAACCATTCAGACCTCAGTTGTTTAATCTTTACAATGGGGCTAACGATAGACCTTCCTCACAGGGTTATTGTGATAATTGGGGTGAAGTACACAAAGCACTGTCACTCAGAGGTGCTCAGGGTTAATCCCTCTCTGCTCCTGGGCATTTGCTTCTTCCTTGTGTTAAGTGTTTACTTCTGTGTAGGGTTTCAGACTTCCTCTGAGAGTTATTTGATAGTTGCCACATGAAGCCCGAGTTCCAGCTCTGGATGGGTGAGAAGCAGTTTTCAACTGGCTGGTGGGAATCCGTTTGTGCAGAGAGAGAAAGGGAAAATATCTACTGCTCTGAGACCATAGGGTGGCTAGGAATCGAATTGACTCGACAGCAACGGGTTTTTTGAGACAGTTGGAGTACTCAATGGGGTGTGGACTTGAAGTTCGAAGTTCTGTTTTCTTCTCTGGGATCTGCTACTTGGCGGTTGGGTGACCTTGGACAGATTGCTTAACCCTTATTTATTTATTTATTTAGTGTCCGTATATCAAGTGCTATTGGAACACAGCCATGGTTATTTGTTTGTTTGCTTATATATTGTCTATGGCTGCTTTTGTACAACAGCAGACTTGATTATTTGTGACAGAGACCATATGACCCATAAAGCCTAAATTATTTATTTTCTGGCCCTTTACAGAAAATGTTTGTTGACTCTAATTTAGATTAATAGCTTAATCTTTTTGAGCCTCAGTTTCTTCAACTCCTCTTGGAGTTGGTGTAATGAATAAGTGTGATAAGACATGCAGTACATCTAGTAGGTGTGCAGCACACCTTATGCCACATATATCAGT